TGGATGGACCTACAGTCCAGTCCTCCTGTAGGCGGCGGCGTGTACCCCAGAGCTTACGCTTTACAAAGTTAATTCATCCAGGTAATGAACTGGAGCCATAACTATATTATAAGCTTTGGGTGGTGTTCTCCTTTAGAAGTTAAATAGCAAAGAAAAAAATTCCTTCATAACAGTGTGTGAGTCACATGTGCGGATTGTGTTTATTGCATCAGCAATGTTCATCTGACAGGAGTCACCTGATATTAATGGCATCACCAGCGAGGATTAGAGCCGCGTTTATTGTGCTCTTAGTCACCAAACAGCTGGCCGCATGCATTCATTTTGCTTTCTGAACACTTGTTTGCATTTTCTTGTTCATTTGTCAGGCTTCACACACGTCTGTCGCCTTTTTGACATGAATGGTTTTTGTTCTGTGCAAAAAAAAAAAAAAAAAATAGTTTTAGAAGATCATTCGTAGAAGATTGGATAGTTCACGAGTCTTGGGAGTTGACAGCAACAGATTCCAAATGCAAATAGCACACTTGAAATGAACTCTGGACCTTTTATCTGCTCATTGTAATTGGGAGAATGAGGGAATAACACACACCTGGCCATGGAACAGCTGAGAAGCCAATTGTCCCATTACTTTTGGTCCCTTAACAAGTGGGAGGCACATATGCAAACTGTTGTAATTCCTACACCGTTCACCTGATTTGGGTGTAAATACCCTCAAATTAAAGCTGACAGTCTGCAGTTAAAGCACATCTTGTTCGTTTCATTTCAAATCCATTGTGGTGGTGTATAGAGCCAAAAATGTTAGAATTGTGTCCATGTCCCGATATTTATGGACCTGACTGTACGTCTGACACATTATCAATGCCGTATTCAGAAATATTGTGTGGATATAGCGCAGCACAATGTGACTTCATTTTTGGGGTTGTCACCGTTCGTCACTTGCAGCTCTTTATAACTGACTGGTGCGCAGATTCATTGTGTAGAATACATTTGTCCTACGGAGTCTCTGTTGCTTTGTACTTTTGAATGTACAGTCATTGCAATGTATGGAATGGTCCTGCATACAGTACATACTTAGCCTGAGGACCTGGACACAAATCCGGAGATTGCTGTCCGGTGTCCCTGCTCAGTGTTACAGCCTTCAGCCTTCCTCAAACATTTTAACATGGAGGAACCCTTGAAATAACTGTCAGGTCTCAGGGAACCCCTTCTAATAATTATTATATGTGCATCTCAGGAGACATCAGCATGAATATACAGTGAAGGAAATGCGTATTTGCTCCCCGGCTGATGCTGAATGTTCGCCCCTCACACAGAAATGATCGGTCTAACAATGGAATGTTCGCCCCTCACACAGAAATGATCGGTCTAACAATGGAATGTTCGCCCCTCACACAGAAATGATCGGTCTAACAATGGAATGTTCGCCCCTCACACAGAAATGATCGGTCTAACAATGGAATGTTCGCCCCTCACACAGAATGATCGGTCTAACAATGGAATGTTCGCACCCTCACACAGAAATGATCGGTCTAACAATGGAATGTTCGCCCCTCACACAGAAATGATCGGTCTAACAATGGAATGTTCGCCCCTCACACAGAAATGATCGGTCTAACAATGGAATGTTCGCCCCTCACACAGAAATGATCGGTCTAACAATGGAATGTTCGGTGTAACACTGAGAGACAGAATACAACAACAAATTCAGCAGAAATGCGTCTAACAAATGATGACGGATCTGCATGTTCATGAGGGAAAGAAGGATTTGATCCCCTATCAGTCAGCAGGATTTCTGGCTCCCAGGTGTCTCATACAGGTAACAAGCTGAGATTAGAAGCAGTCTCTTAAAGGGAGTGCTGCTAATCTCATTGTGTTACCTGTATAAAAGACACCTGTCCACAGGAGCAATCAAACCATCAGATTCCAAACTCTCCACCATGGCAAAGACCAAAGAGCTGTCCAAGGAGGTCAGGGACAAGATGGTAGACCTACACAAGGCTGGACTGGGCTACCAAACTATGGCCAAGCAGCTTGGTGAGAAGGTGACAACAGTTGGTGCAATCATTCACAAATGGAAGAAACACAAAACAAGTGTCAGTCTCCCTAGGTCTGGTGCACCATGCAAGATCTCACCTCGTGGAGTGTCAATGATCATGAGAACAGTGAGGAATCATCCCAGAACTACACGTGAGGATCTTGTCAATGATCTCCAGGCAGCTGGGACCACAGTCACCAAGAAAACAATTGGTAACACACTACGCCGACGAGGACTGAAATCCTGCAGTGCCCGCAAGGTCCCTCTGCTCAAGAAAGCACATGTCCAGGCCCGTCTGAAGTCTGCCACTGAACATCTGAATGATGCCGAGGAGGACTGGTGGGAAGTGTTGTGGTCAGAGGAGACCAAAATCCAGCTCTTTGGCATCAACTCAACTCGCCGTGTTTGGAGGAGGAGGAATGCTGCCTATGACCCCAAGAACACCATCCCAACTGTGAAACATGGTGGTGGAAACATTCTGCTTTGGGGGTGTTTTTCTGCTAAGGGGACAGGACAACTGCACCGCATCAAAGGGACGATGGACGGGGCAATGTACCCTCAAATCTTGGGTGAGAACCTTCTTCCCTCAGCCAGGGCATTGAAAATGGGTGGTGGATGGGTGTTCCAGCATGACAATGACCCAAAACACACGGCCAAGGCAACAAAGGAGCGGCTCAAGAAGAAGCACATTAAGGTCCTGGAGTGGCCTAGCCAGTCTCCAGACCTTCATCCGATTGAAAATCTGTGGAGGGAGCTGAAAGTTTGAGTTGCCAGACGTCAGCCACCAAACCATAATGACTTGGAGAGGATCTGCCAAGAGGAGTGGGCCAAAATCCCTCCTGAGATGTGTGCGAACCTGGGGGCCAACTCCAGGAAACTTCTTACCTCTGTGATTGCCAACAAGGGATTTGTCACCAAGTACTAAGTCATGTTTTGTGAAGAGAATCCAATCCTTCTTTCCCTCATGAACATGCAGATCCGTCATCATTTGTTAGACGCATTTCTGCTGAATTTGTTGTTGTATTCTGTCTCTCAGTGTTACACCGAACATTCCATTGTTAGACCGATCATTTCTGTGTGAGGGGCGAACATTCCATTGTTAGACTGATCATTTCTGTGTGAGGGGCGAACATTCCATTGTTAGACCGATCATTTCTGTGTGAGGGGCGAACATTCCATTGTTAGACCGATCATTTCTGTGTGAGGGGCGAACATTCCATTGTTAGACTGATCATTTCTGTGTGAGGGGCGAACATTTCATTGTTAGACCGATCATTTCTGTGTGAGGGGCGAACATTCAGCATCAGCCGGGGAGCAAATACGCATTTCCTTCAATGTATGATAAATAGAAGGATATGGAATGTGATCTACTTAGTGTGTTTGACGCCGAGGGATGTTCCTTATGACAAAATGATCCTCAGTGATAAAGAAATGTATAATGATAATGGCAAGAAAAGAAGTGCAGACAGTGAAAGCTGGGTGTCCTAATGGTCAATGAAGAGTGGAGCTTCTACACTGGTGGCAAGCAAAGGGAAGAATGTCCCTTACATTGGGGGTCAGTGGGAAGAATGTCCCTTACATTGGGGATCAGTGGGAAGAATGTCCCTTACATTGGGGGTCAGTGGGAAGAATGTCCCTTACATTGGGGGTCAGTGGGAAGAATGTCCCTTACATTGGGGATCAGTGGGAAGAATGTCCCTTACATTGGGGGTCAGTGGGAAGAATGTCCCTTACATTGGGGATCAGTGGGAAGAATGTCCCTTACATTGGGGGTCAGTGGGAAGAATGTCCCTTACATTGGTGATCAGTGGGAAGAATGTCCCTTACATTGGGGATCAGTGGGAAGAATGTCCCTTACATTGGGGGTCAGTGGGAAGAATGTCCCTTACATTGGGGGTCAGTGGGAAGAATGTCCCTTACATTGTGTTATGATCCGCCAGGTGGTGCCTCAGGCTGCCAACTGACAGACCTACTCAGAGCGTGGGGTCTAAGCCCGGGCTGTGCTTTCACCAGAGCCCCTGATGGTGGGGATGGACTTGAAACAGTCCCGGGCCAGGTCACGACCTCCGAGCAGGCCCACCAGTGGCTGAGGAGACCTTTGGGGACAGGTACCGGGAGAGCCAGATATGAAGAGGATGGCGGCCCCAGCAGGGTAGTAACAGATCGTGGGCCCGTGAGGGTAAGCGGGGTACAGAATCGGTAGGCGAAGAGTAGTCGGGTCACACGCAGGGTCAGCAGGGAAGTCAATCCGTAGAATGGTCAGGGCAATCCGGGTCAAACGCAGGAGCAGGCAGAGTAGTCAGGACAATCCGGGTCAATCACAGGAGCAGGCAGAATAGTCAGGGCAATCCGGGTCAATCACAGGGGCAGGCAGCGTAGTCAGGGTCAATCAGGGTCACTAGACGGGTGCAGGAACTCAGGATCACAGGAAGACCTTGCGGCAATCTGTGACAGTGCAGGGCATCTTTAAATAGTGTGCCCTGCACTGTCATTGGCCGGCTAGGACGCGCCCCCGGCTGTCATTGGACGCCTGAGGCGCGCCCCCAGCACCTACTGCGCATGCGCGGCGTCCTGTCAGCCGCGGCTCGCCGGGACCTAGTGCCTGTGTCCCGGCGCGATCTGCCGCCAATGCGCATGCGCGGGGGACAGAGCCGTGATCGTGGACCACGGAGCCGCGATCCCTGACACATTGGTGGTCAGTGGGAAGAATGTCCCTTACATTGGTGGTCAGTGGGAAGAATGTCCTTTACATTGGGGTCAGTGGGAAGAATGTCCCTTACATTGGGGGTCAGTGGGAAGAATGTCCCTTACATTGGGGGTCAGTGGGAAGAATGTCCCTTACATTAGCGGTCAGTGGGAAGAATGTCCCTTACATTGGGGATCAGTGGGAAGAATGTCCCTTACATTGGAGGTCAGTGGGAAGAATGTCCCTTAAATTGGTGGTCAGTGGGAAGAATGTCCCTTACATTGGGGATCAGTGGGAAGAATGTCCCTTACATTGGAGGTCAGTGGGAAGAATGTCCCTTACATTGGTGATCAGTGGGAAGAATGTCCCTTACATTGGTGGTCAGTGGGAAGAATGTCCCTTAAATTGGTGGTCAGTGGGAAGAATGTCCCTTACATTGGGGATCAGTGGGAAGAATGTCCCTTACATTGGGGGTCAGTGGGAAGAATGTCCCTTACATTGGGGATCAGTAGGAAGAATGTCCCTTACATTGGGGGTCAGTGGGAAGAATGTCCCTTACATTGGGATCAGTGGGAAGAATGTCCCTTACATTGGTGGTCAGTGGGAAGAATGTCCCTTACATTGGTGATCAGTGGGAAGAATGTCCCTTACATTGGGGATCAGTGGGAAGAATGTCCCTTACATTGGGGATCAGTGGGAAGAATGTCCCTTACATTGGGGATCAGTGGGAAGAATGTCCCTTACATTGGGGATCAGTAGGAAGAATGTCCCTTACATTGGGGGTCAGTGGGAAGAATGTCCCTTACATTGGGGGTCAGTGGGAAGAATGTCCCTTACATTGGTGATCAGTGGGAAGAATGTCCCTTACATTGGGGGTCAGTGGGAAGAATGTCCCTTACATTGGGGGTCAGTGGGAAGAATGTCCCTTACATTGGTGGTCAGTGGGAAGAATGTCCCTTACATTGGGGGTCAGTGGGAAGAATGTCCCTTACATTGGAGGTCAGTGGGAAGAATGTCCCTTACATTTGGGGTCAGTGGGAAGAATGTCCCTTACATTGGGGGGTCAGTGGGAAGAATGTCCCTTACATTGGTGGTCAGTGGGAAGAATGTCCCTTACATTGGGGGGGTCAGTGGGAAGAATGTCCCTTACATTGGTGATCAGTGCGAAGAATGTCCTTACATTGGTGGTCAGTGGGAAGAATGTCTCTTACATTGGGGGTCATTGGGAAGAATGTCCCTTACATTGGTGATCAGTGGGAAGAATGTCCCTTATATTGGTGGTCAGTGGGAAGAATGTCCCTTATATTGGGGGTCAGAGGGAAGAATGTCCCTTACATTGGGGGGTCGGTGGGAAGAATGTCCCTTACATTGGTGATCAGTGGGAAGAATGTCCCTTATATTGGGGGTCAGAGGGAAGAATGTCCCTTACATTGGGGGGTCAGTGGGAAGAATGTCCCTTACATTGGGGGGGTCGGTGGGAAGAATGTCCCTTACATTGGGGGGTCGGTGGGAAGAATGTCCCTTACATTGGGGGTCAGTCAGTGCGAAGAATGTCCCTTACATTGGGGGGTCAGTGGGAAGAATGTCCCTTACATTGGTGATCAGTGCGAAGAATGTCCCTTACATTGGGGGTCATGGGGAAGAATGTCCCTTACATTGGGGGGGTCAGTGGGAAGAATGTCCCTTACATTGGTGGTCAGTGGGAAGAATGTCCCTTACATTGGTGGTCAGTGGGAAGAATGTCCCTTACATTGGGGGTCAGTGGGAAGAATGTCCCTTACATTGGGGGTCAGTGGGAAGAATGTCCCTTACATTGGGGGTCAGTGGGAAGAATGTCCCTTACATTGGGGGTCAGTGGGAGGAATGTCCCTTACATTGGGGGTCAGTGGGAAGAATGTCCCTTACATTGGGGGTCAGTGGGAAGAATGTCCCTTACATTGGGGGTCAGTGGGAAGAATGTCCCTTACATTGGGGGTCAGTGGGAAGAATGTACCTTACATTGGTGGTCAGTGCGAAGAATGTCCCTTACATTGGGGGGTCAGTGGGAAGAATGTCCCTTACATTGGTGATCAGTGCGAAGAATGTCCCTTACATTGGGGGTCAGGGGGAAGAATGTCCCTTACATTGGGGGGTCAGTGGGAGGAATGTCCCTTACATTGGGGGTCAGTGGGAAGAATGTCCCTTACATTGGGGGTCAGTGGGAAGAATGTCCCTTACATTGGGGGTCAGTGGGAAGAATGTCCCTTACATTGGGGGTCAGTGGGAAGAATGTCCCTTACATTGGGGGTCAGTGGGAAGAATGTCCCTTACATTGGGGGGTCAGTGGGAAGAATGTCCCTTACATTGGGGGGTCAGTGGGAAGAATGTCCCTTACATTGGTGATCAGTGGGAAGAATGTCCCTTACATTGGTGATCAGTGGGAAGAATGTCCCTTACATTGGGGGTCAGAGGGAAGAATGTCCCTTACATTGGGGGGTCAGTGGGAAGAATGTCCCTTACATTGGGGGGTCGGTGGGAAGAATGTCCCTTACATTGGGGGTCAGTGGGATGAATGTCCCTTACATTGGGGGTCAGTGGGAAGAAAATGTCCCTTACATTGGTGATCAGTGGGAAGAATGTCCCTTACATTGGGGGTCAGTGGGAAGAATGTCCCTTACATTGGTGGTCAGTGGAAGAATATCCTCCTCATATAGCTATGAAGGTCATTATATTCTGTGGTATGTTTTGTGAGAGGCAGGAATTGGTCATTGATGGTCAGGGAACCCCTGGTGACCTCTGGTTGGGGTAGGCCGGTCCTGTAGACAGGAGAATGTGATCATACAGTCTGTGAGAATTGCGGTGCCTCCGTTGGGTAATTAGCGTTGAACGTGTCCCGTGACGGATTGGTGAGGTCGGGTGAATTAGTGATCACATTGCTTTATATCAGATCCTTGTTGTGGCAATTTATGTAAATATCTTCCTTGTCCTGTAACTGATACTCACCCCCCCCCAGTTCCTCTTCTCTGCTTGCACAATACAAACAAATCTGTTCAGTCTTGAAATATCACCTCAAAGAGACCTTGTCAGCAGCTTAAAAATCTGCAGGTGAATGCAAAGAAAAATTGAGTATTCTGATTGGTCACTTGCAGTGTTTTCCTTTCCATAAATCTTCTTTATTCACATGGCTTTGGACTTACTACAAAAATGAGTTTTTTCCTGGAAGACTCAACACCCTGCAATGTTTCCTCCCTCTTCCCGTCGTAGCTCTGTCCTCTACCAGGAGTGTCTAGTTACTGTCTGTACGCCGGCTCCTGTCCCATGCGGAGTGATCCCTCCTCTGTAGTGCCGGCTCCTGTCCCATGCGGAGTGATCCCTCCTCTGTAGTGCCGGCTCCTGCCCCATGCGGAATGATCCCTCCTGTGTAGTGCCGGCTCCTGTCCCATGCGGAGTGATCCCTCCTCTGTAGTGCCGGCTCCTGTCCCATGCGGAGTGATCCCTCCTCTGTAGTGCCGGCTCCTGTCCCATGCAGAGTGATCCCTCCTCTGTAGTGCCGGCTCCTGTCCCATGCAGAGTGATCCCTCCTCTGTAGTGCCGGCTCCTGTGTCCCATGCAGAGTGATCCCTCCTCTGTAGTGCCGGCTCCTGTCCCATGCAGAGTGATCCCTCCTCTGTAGTGCCGGCTCCTGTCCCACGTGGAGTGATCCCTCCTCTAGTTCCGGCTCCTGTCCCACGTGGAGTGATCCCTCCTCTGTAGTGCCGGCTCCTGTCCCATGCGGAGTGATCCCTCCTCTAGTGCCATCTCCTGTCCCATGTTGAGTGACGCCAACTGCACTTCACCTCTTATACCGGCTAGCGGTCTCCAGAGTGGTGCCAGCTGCAGGAAAGAAGAGATCTTCAGCTCAGTGTGAAGCAATGCACCAGGCATAATAGTATAGGGCTGCTTTCACACTGGTGTGCTGCGGTCTACCCTCACCGCAGGTGCAGTGCAGTGTACATGTGACTTTTCTGTGGGTTTTTCTGCACTTAGCTATAGACTTGTGTTATATCCTGCAGTTTTCTGGTTCTGATGACATCACATTCAAGTCCAAAATGGCGGCGCTGGAGAACCCCCCAGCAGTGAGAAGAGCCGACTGTTAGACGATAGCGCTGGCGACCCCTCCGGAAAACGCAAATTTTTTGGTTGTCCTCCAGTCATATTCACCACCTCGTCAGTGCCCATCAGCACCACCTTGTCAGTGCCACCTCATCATTGCCCATCAGTGCAGCCTCGTCATTGCCCATCAGTGCAGCCTCGTCATTGCCCATCAGTGCAGCCTCGTCATTGCCCATCAGTGCAGCCTCGTCATTGCCCATCAGTGCAGCCTCGTCATTGCCCATCAGTGCAGCCTCGTCATTGCCCATCAGTTCAGCCTCGTCATTGCCCATCAGTGCAGCCCTGTCATTGCCCATCAGTGCAGCCTCGTCATTGCCCGTCAGTGCAGCCCTGTCATTGTCCATCAGTGCAGCCTCGTCATTGCTCATCAGTGCAGCCTCGTCATTGCTCATCAGTGCAGCCTCGTCATTGCCCATCAGTGCAGCCTGGTCATTGCCCATCAGTGCAGCCTCGTCATTGCCCGTCAGTGCAGCCCTGTCATTGCCCATCAGTGCAGCCTCGTCATTGCCCATCAGTGCAGCCTCGTCATTGCCCATCAGTTCAGCCTTTCATTGCCGATCAGTTCAGCCTTTCATTGTCCATCAGTTCAGCCTCGTCATTGCCCATCAGTTCAGCCTCATCATTGCCCATCAGTGCAGCCTCATCATTGCCCATCAGTGCAGCCTCATCATTGCCCATCAGTGCAGCCTCGTCATTGCCCATCAGTTCAACCTCGTGATTGCCCATCAGTGCAGCCTCATTAGTCCCCATCAGTGCAGCCTCGTCATTGCCCATCAGTTCAGCCTCGTCATTGCCCATCAGTGCAGCCTCGTCATTGCCCATCAGTGCAGCCTCGTCATTGCCTATCAGTTCAGCCTCGTCATTGCCCATCAGTTCAGCCTTTCATTGCTCATCAGTGCAGCCTCGTCATTGCTCATCAGTGCAGCCTCATCATTGCCCATCAGTTCAGCTTTTCATTGCTCATCAGTTCAGCCTCATCATTGCCCATCAGTTCAGCTTTTCATTGCCGATCAGTTCAGCCTTTCATTTTCCATCAGTTCAGCCTCGTCATTGCCCATCAGTGCAGCCTCATTAGTCCCCATCAGTGCAGCCTCGTCATTGCTCATCAGTTCAGCCTCGTCATTGCCCATCAGTTCAGCCTCGTCATTGCCCATCAGTGCAGCCTCGTCATTGCCCATCAGTGCAGCCTCGTCATTGCCTATCAGTTCAGCCTCGTCATTGCCCATCAGTTCAGCCTTTCATTGCTCATCAGTGCAGCCTCGTCATTGCCCATCAGTTCAGCCTTTCATTGCTCATCAGTTCAGCCTCATCATTGCCCATCAGTTCAGCCTTTCATTGCCGATCAGTTCAGCCTTTCATTTTCCATCAGTTCAGCCTCGTCATTGCCCATCAGTGCAGCCTCATTAGTCCCCATCAGTGCAGCCTCGTCATTGCTCATCAGTTCAGCCTCGTCATTGCCCATCAGTTCAGCCTCGTCATTGACAATCAGTGCAGCCTCGTCATTGCCCATCAGTGCAGCCTCATTAGTCCCCATCAGTGCAGCCTCGTCATTGCCCATCAGTTCAGCCTCGTCATTGCCCATCAGTTCAGCCTTTCATTGCCCATCAGCTCAGCCTCGTCATTGTTCATCAGTGCAGCCTCGTCATTGCCCATCAGTTCAGCCTCGTCATTGCCCATCAGTGCAGCCCTGTCATTGCCCATCAGTGGAGCCTCGTCGTTGCCCATCAGTGCAGCCTCGTCATTGCCCATCAGTTCAGCCTCGTCGTTGCCCATCAGTTCAGCCTCGTCGTTGTCCATCAGTTCAGCCTCGTCATTGCCCATCAGTTCAGCCTCGTCATTGCCCATCAATTCAGCCTCGTCATTGCCCATCAGTTCAGCCTCGTCATTGCCCATCAGTTCAGCCTCGTCATTGCCCATCAGTGCAGCCTCGTCATTGCCCATCAGTTCAGCCTCATTAGTCCCCATCAGTTCAGCCTCGTCATTGCCCATCAGTTCAGCCTCGTCATTGCCCATCAGTTCAGCCTTTCATTGCCCATCAGTGCAGCCTCGTCATTGCCCATCAGTGCAGCCTCGTCATTGCCCATCAGTTCAGCCTCGTCATTGCCCATCAGTGCAGCCTTGTCATTGCCCATCAGTTCAGCCTCGTCGTTGCCCATCAGTTCAGCCTCGTCGTTGCCCATCAGTGCAGCCTCGTCATTGCCCATCAGTTCAGCCTCGTCGTTGCCCATCAGTTCAGCCTCGTCATTGCCCATCAGTTCAGCCTCGTCATTGCCCATCAGTTCAGCCTCGTCATTGCCCATCAGTTCAGCCTCGTCATTGCCCATCAGTGCAGCCTCGTCATTGCCCATCAGTGCAGCCTCGTCATTGCCCATCAGTTCAGCCTCGTCATTGCCCATCAGTGCAGCCTCGTCATTGCCCATCAGTTCAGCCTCGTCATTGCCCATCAGTGCAGCCTCGTCATTGCCCATCAGTGCAGCCTCGTCATTGCCCATCAGTGCAGCCTCGTCATTGCCCATCAGTTCAGCCTCGTCATTGCCCATCAGTGCAGCCTCGTCATTGCCCATCAGTGCAGCCTCGTCATTGCCCATCAGTTCAGCCTCGTCATTGCCCATCAGTGCAGCCTCGTCATTGCCCATCAGTGCAGCCTCGTCATTGCCCATCAGTGCAGCCTCGTCATTGCCCATCAGTTCAGCCTCGTCATTGCCCATCAGTGCAGCCTCGTCATTGCCCATCAGTTCAGCCTCGTCATTGCCCATCAGTTCAGCCTCGTCATTGCCCATCAGTTCAGCCTCGTCATTGCCCATCAGTTCAGCCTCGTCATTGCCCATCAGTTCAGCCTCGTCATTGCCCATCAGTGCAGCCTCGTCATTGCCCATCAGTGCAGCCTCGTCATTGCCC